TAAAATATTCTATTATTTAATTTTCTTTACCATCTAGTTTTTATTAATTAACATGCTATATTATTAGTGAATAGCTTTAAATATATCATGAAATGTTAAAATTTATTAATGTTTAGACATGTCCTTTTTGGTCATATTTTACATTTTTCAACTATGCTTATAAGATAGTTTTTGCCAAATGCATTTAGTTCTTCAACTAGCTTATTAGCCACCATCTAGCTTCTCAACTCGTTTGTCAAACATTATAGTGTAAATTGAATTTTTTGTTAACCAAATATCTAGATAAACTCCAATAATGCAAAAAATAAAAAATGAATCAATCAATATTGTAATAAGAACAAGAGATCTTTCTCGATCAATCCCCTTGCCCCTCATTCTTGAAAACATGAAATAAGTCATTTTAGCTTGAAATTTTGACGTAAACGGAAGGGCAGCAAATTTCATGAGACAATAACCTTCGACTTGTTTATAATAGTAATAATCATAACCACAAGAGTGGTGCCCGATTGGTTTGAGCTTGGGCTCCAAAGGTGAAAAGTGCCTGGAAGTTACAAGTTCGAATCCTAGGAGGAATAAAACATCCCCTTGTGGCCACGGAGGTTCAAATGCAATGAACCCAGGTTACTTGTGAAGCGGGTGGTCGTTCTGGGATTGGTCGGCTCGCCTAGCGAGTTGGATATCAGGTTAATCAAGAAAAAAGAAAATTAGTAACAATCATGATACCTATGAATTCAGGGTGAACTGGCCAAAGAACAAAGCAGGGCAGAGACACTCTCTGCAGAAATTTTGCAGCTCTCAGCTCAACTCCGACAAGCCATGCAAGCCTACAATAGTCTCGCTCGCACGTATGCTTCCCTCCCTTCATTCTTTTTAGCTTTCCATAACTTCTTACGTTCTTAATTTTTTTCTTTCCATCCATCATTTTTCAGCTATAAACCAGTTTTGAGGAACATCGAGACTAATCTGCTCAAAATGAAGCAAGATGGCTCTTTGACAGTACAGTGATACGCTATTCGGTAATTCTTTCACAGGAAGCTCTGTTTTATAACCATCGTGTATATATATATATATATATATACATACATGATGGTTATATATATATATATATATATATAGATATATCAAGTGATTTGGTCATGGTGCATTTTAAGTTTTAGAGAAACAAAACTACTATTTCATGTCATAGAGGACAAATATTGTGCATTTATAATTTGAATTTAAATAACAAATTAATAATTGACGTGTTATTGCTATCAAAACCCTTAGCTCCATTTTAGTTCCATAAGTTTACTGTTTCATTTGTAGGGATAAAATGGATGTGGGAGGATTTGGATTTTTAAATCCATTTCAATCTCATGTTTGGTTTGTTGGATTCTTTGGATTTGAAATCTTAAAATTTAATTGAAATCTTACATACATTGGACTTTGAAATCTTTAGGTGGTGCTCGGGATTTCGTAGGATTGCATGCAATAAGGTTTTAAAAAATGTTAAAAACATCTGTTTTGTAATAATCGATTAATAGAAATGCAATTTAATTATCTTTATAAATTATTTATAGATAATGGAATCCAATTCCATTCAAAATCCTACAAACGAAACACACCAATGATTTCAAATTCATTACAATCTCAATTCCTGTAATCCAAAGCCATCCTGCAAACCAAACAAGTCTTAACTGTTTTTTTCCTAGATTGTAGTTATGGATAAAATTTCATGTCCCAAGTTCTCAGGTCTCATTCCTGTCTACTAATTACATGAATATACATCATCAGAGAGAAAACGTGAAATTGAATAAAACAAATTTAAAATATATAAGAATCTAATGTGTCTTAATTTCATTAGTTGGTCAAGAAAGGGACGTGTGATTCTGTCCTGTATTAGATGACAACTTGTGTAGATAGGGTATACGATCACTTCAGTACAAATGAAGGTCTTGGCTTAGAGTTTATCAAGTACTTCGATTTTGCTTTCGTGTAATCTCATAGAGATACAATTTTATTATTTTAGGGTAGAAAGAAAAAAAAATAAAGTAATAATAATTTTCTTGGATCTGAACTTCAATTGTTTTCAATCGACTGTGTTGAACAATGTCAAAACTCTGTTGTTGCTCTAAATGTTTTCGTTATGTTATACGATTGTTCTTGAGAGATTCTTGAATTTGTGAAGATTTGTTACCAGAGAAACAAAGATTCTTAACACATGAAATATAAATTTCTAACGAAATTTGTTGAATTGTATACGATTTTCTCAAAATATAATAATATTAAAAATGAATTATTATAATTTATCTGAAATGGTAAAACTGGTTTTCTTTTATAACTTCACTGCAGAAACTAAAATAATTTGCGGTAAGATTAATGCATACATGAATATTGGAATTTTTACATAGTTCATAGTAATACGTAATTTATATCAAGGATCATTAATCGTGAAAGAACTCACATTCATGACTATTGTGAAACATAAGTTGACAACAAAGATTATTATTGCTAAAAAGACAATATAAGAAAGAAAAAACACTTAGACATACTAGTTGTCGATCTTAGGGGATAATTAAAGGTGATATAAGATAGATTAATGATGAAGGTTTGAAACTCTAATGATTTTACGATACGGTGGCGGAGAGTAATGTGAGGTTGGTAGCGGAGGGGATGCATAACCATACAACGGAGGAGATTGACCTTGTGATGGTGGTGAATTTCCACTTGAAGGTGATGGTTGTGGTAAATGTGAGCTTATTGGTGGCGTTACTCCATGAGATGGTGGTTGATGATGATGGTGAACAGGTGTTCGATGTTGAGATGTTGGAGGTGGTTGATGGGTATGAGAAGGAGGTGGACTTGTATAAGACGATGGTGGACTCTGAGATGTTGGGGGTGGTTGAAAGCTTTGAGATGGTGGACTTCCATAAGACGGTGGTGGACTTTGAGACGATGGAGGTGGTTGATAGCCTTGAGATGGTGGTGGACTTTGAGACGATGGAGGTGGTTGATAGCCTTGAGATGGTGGTGGATTTTGTGGTGATGGAGGTGGACTCAGAGATGATGGAGGTGGTTGATGGCCTTGAGATGGTGGTGGACTTCCATAAGAAGGCGGTGGATTATGAGACGATGGAGGTGGTTGATGGCCTTGAGATGG